AGCAAGTGAACCTCTTCCACTTGGGTAGATAAGTGGCCCTGATGGATGGTTTCCTGCTGCCGAGTAGAACGTCCGAGCACAGGAGCTCCATGGGGTTTAACCATGAAGCTTCTAGCCATGAGATGGAGGGACTGGAGGTCAGGTTGGTGAAGGCAACCGTGATCCTGAGTGATCAGTATGACGGTACCTCCCATAAGGCTTTATGGGAATGTGACGTAACTGGAATATGTTTTGTGCTGCCTGTGCCATGTAACATATCTCTGTAAAGGTTATGGTCTACTATATCTATTCATCCTATTTGTACACATATATCATTTTGTACTTGAGGTTAAGCATATTGGCTGTATACTTGTTTGATTTCTAAGTAAGCTTTGTGAGGCATTTGGTCAGCTTCTTTAGGAAGGAATTCGCAAGGTTAAGTACCCGATCAGGAAGCACTTGGGGAACAATGCATCTTGGAATGCTCCAATCCACATAAGAAGTCTTCCTGGAGAAAATACAAGATACCATGTGGACAATGGCTTCTGCCTGTAAAGACTGAGTCATGCATGGACATGTGACTTGCCCAGGTGACTCCTAAACTCCATCTTGGAGCTGGACCTTGCATAGGGGTGAGGAGGGGGGTCTCCACCCTCAAGAGAAAGTCTATTTAAACCCGTGGGAGACCCCTCCATTCTGTCTTCAGCTGGCTAAAGAGAGAGCTCCCCCCAGGATACCGGAAAGAAACTGGAACAAAGGACAGTGTGCAGGGGGTGTGAGTGATTGCTGGACCCAGACTAAAAGGAGATTAGTCTGTAAAAGGGAGCATTCTGGAACTGGTGAGGATCTTATCTGTATTCAGTTTGATTAGACATAGATTTGTGCATTTTATTTTATTTTGCTTGGTGACTTACTTTGTTCTGTTACTACTTGGAACCACTTAAATCCTACTTTCTGTATTTAATAAAATCACTTTTTACTTATTAATTGACTCAGAGTACGTGTTAATACCTGGGGGAGCAAACAACTGTGCATCTCTCTCTATAAGTGTTATAGAGGGCGAACAATTTATGAGTTTACCCTGCATAAGCTTTATACAGGGTAAAACGGATTTATTTGGGGTTAGACCCCATTGGGAGTTGGGCATCTGAGTGCTATAGACAAGCACACATCTGTGAGCTATTTTCAGGTAAACCTGCAGCTTTGGGGCAAGTAATTCAGACCCTGGGTCTGTGTTGGAGCAGACGGGAGTGTCTGGCTCAGCAAGACAGGGTGCTGGAGTCCTGAGCTGGCAGGGAAAGCAGGGGTAGAAGTAGTCTTGGCACATCAGGTGGCAGCTCCCAAGAGGGTTTCTGTGATCCAACACGTCACAATCAGATCGAGGTTGATTGGTAACATGATTGGGGTATCCACTGAAAGCTCCAGAAGCGTGGTGTACCAATGTTGACGGGGCCATGCTAGGGCCAGCAGAATTACCTGTGCTTTGTCTCTGCGGATCTTGAGCAGCACCTTGTGTAGGAGTGGGACCGGTGGGAAGGCATACATGAGTTGGTCTCCCCAGGGTAGCAGGAACGTGTTCTTGATTCCACCCGGGCTGTGTTTCTGGAAGAAGCAGAACATTGGGCACTTTCTGTTGCCCCGGGTGGCAGAGATCGACCTGGGGAAACTCCCACCTTTGGAAGATGGAATGAAGGCCATCCGGATGGATGGAACACTCGTGGTTGCAGAACGATCTGCTGAGGTGATCCGCTAGCTCGTTCTGCACTCCTGGGAGATAGGAGTCTCCATGTGAATGTAGTGGGCTATGCAGAACTCCCATAGCTGAAGGGCTTCCGACATAGCGGGGAGGAATGGGCTCCACCCTGCTTGTTGACGTAAAACACGTCAGTGGTGTTGTCTGTCATCACTGCTATGCACTGGCCTTGCAGCCGAGACTGGAAAGTTTGGCATGCTAATCACACTGCTCTGAGCTCCCTGATATTGATATGGAGGGAAAGCTCATCCTGCGACCACAGGCCCTGTGTTCGGAGATCTTCCAGATGCGCCTCCCAACCCAGAGCTGACGCATCCATTACTAGTGACAAGGAGGGCTGTGAGCTGTTGAAGGGGACACCTTCGCATACCATCTGAGGGTTGAGCCACCAATGTAGGGACTCCAGTATGTGTCCTGGCACTGGCACTACCGAGACCAGCCTGTCGCGTCCTGGGCGGTATACCAATGTGAGTCTCGCTTGAAGGGCCCTGAGCCTTAGTCTGGCATGCTGGACCACATAAGTGCAGACTGCCATGTGGCCAAGGAGACCCAGGCATCCCCTTGCGGTGGTGGTCGTGTACCACCTGAGGCTTTGGATAATGTCTATCATGGCTTGGAATTGGATCTCTGGCAGGAACGCCCTTGCCTGTACCGAGTCCAGCACCACTCCGATGAACTCTAGTCTTTGGGTCAGTGATAAGGTTGACTTGTTCACGTTGAGGAGGAGTCCCAGTCTCTCAAAAGTGGATCTGACCATGCGGACCTGAGATTCCACTTGCTCTCTGGTACGCCCCCTGAGCAGCCAGTCGTCTAGGTATAGGTATAGGTATACCTGCATCTGCCTCCTCTGGAGGAAGGCTGCTACGACTGAGATGCACTTGGTGAACACTTGGGGGCAGCTGTGAACAAACCGAAGGGGAGGACCGTGAACTGATAGTGTTTGTGGTCGACTACAAACTACAGAAATCGTCTGTGCACAGGCCAAATGACTATGTGAAAGTACACGTCTTTCATGTCAGCAGCAGCATACCAGTCTTCCAGATCCAAGGATGGGATAAAAGAGTTCAGGGAGACCATGCGGAACTTCAACTTTACCATGAACTGGTTGAGCACTTGCAGGTCTAAAATGGGTCTGAGACCCCCCCCTTTGCATTGGGGATTAGGAAATAGGGGGAGTAGAATCCCTTGCTCCTTAGATCCCGAGGAACCTCCTCCACTGCCCCTATAGCAAGGAGTGACTGCACCTCCTGGATAAGAAGTTGCTCGTGAGAAGGGTCCCTGAAGAGGGATGGGGAAGGGGGTGGGAGGGAGGGAAGGAGCAGAATGGGAGCGAATATTGCACTTCTACTGTGCAAAGAACCCAGGGGTCCGATGTTATTTGGGACCAAGCACAGTAGAAGTGGGACAGATGGGCCAGAAAACGGGTAAGGATCTGGTGGAGAGACAAGTGCGCCATCCTCAGTCGCATCTTCAAAAGAGCCTGAGGTTTGGACTGGCCTTGGCCCTGCCCTGAAGGGGGGTTGGAAGGCTTGTGCCTGCCATTCCTGCCCCTTCGTCTACAGAAATCCTGCCTCGGCCATGGAGAATATGGGTGCTGTTGTTGTGGTTGGGGCTTGCAGTGCTTGTGTTGGGTGGCCAGCGTGTGTATTCCCAACGACTTCGTGGTGGCCCTAGAGTCTTTCAAGCTGTGCAGCACGGAGTCTGTCTGCTTGGAGAACAGCCCCGTGCCCTCAAAGGGAAGGTCCTGCAGGGTTTGCTGCACTTCCGGGGGGTAGCCCGTACGCCTGAAGCCATGAGGCCCTCCTCATGATTATGCCTGAGGAGAGGGTACGGGTGGCCGAGTCCGCAGAGTCTAGGGACGCCTGCAGTAAGGTCTGCACCACCACCTTCCCTTCCTTGAAAATGGTGGAGAATTTGGCCCTAGAGTCCACAGGGATCAGCTCTTTAAACTTCAACATTGAGGCCCATGAGTTGAAGTTATATTTGCTGAGGCTAGCTTGCTGGTTAGCTATCCTCAGCTGAAGGCTCCCAGTGGCATAGATCTTCCTATCAAGAAGGTCCATCTTTTTGCCTCCTTAGATTTGGAGGCCAGCCCTTGCTGTCCCTGCTGCTCTTTCTTGTTAACCGCCGACACAACCAGGGATTGGGGAGAGATCCTGCTTCCAAACCTACTATCTAAACCATTTACTATGTAAACTAAAATGGGTAACTAGAACAATTAACTAAGGAGAAACGCTAAGGAAAGTCCTTGGTGAGCAAGCGAACGCTGTTCAACGGCCGTCACGGACAGTAAGAAGGAATTGAAAGGGGGTTGGGTCAGCAGGGTCATATATTGAACGCCATGAAGGCGCCACTCCGGGGGGCTCCACAGCCGACCCGATGGGAGCTGCTAAGGGAAAACTTTCCGACAACCGTGCATGCGGTACGCGCACACCTAATTGGAAATGGTATAAGCAATCACTTGAAGAAGTTTAGTTTCAGTTTTTCCTTTTGGTAATGTGTAACTGTTAGGCCCTTTTGCACTTGTTGGCATTCTGGTGTCTCAGGGTCCACCCCACCCCATGGGGTCAGATGTTACGTAGAGTGACTCCTTCCTCAGATTAGAAACAAGCCAATCTTTAGGAAGTGATGAAGACAAGACTGTGGGAGGGCCCAATCTCTCAGCACAAAAGGTTGGGTGCTTTCACCTTGATATTTGTCAGCAACTGGCTAGCTGGTCTTTTGGGTGTGCCAGGGCAGGACCGTGGGACTAGGGGAGCAGAATGACACCCCTTCTTCCCTACTCTCATTTGCCATTGGGCAATAGTTCTGCTTATTAAAACTGTGACCAACTGCACCACTTTTCTTAACTTGGCCTCTGGGTCTTTCCAGTGTGATGGTAGAAAAACAACATCATGCGGCTCCCCATTTATTGCCCCTCAATGAGCTGAAATACTTCTTTTCAGTTCATAAAAGAGGATTTTTCAAATTGCCAGGACTGAAAACTCAATGTGGAGTTTGAAAATCAAGCTATATTCTCTCCACCTCTTCTACCCTGACCAGGAATAGGGGTGCCACAACTAGAACTTTAAAAAAGTTACTATTTTTATAGGACCTACAAAATCAAAATATTTTAGCATGACACCTGTAAAGTACCAATTGGTGATGGACAAGACAAAGTGATTCCTCTCTGCAAAGTTTATAAATAGATTTGGTCAAAATTTTTTGAATTTTCAAAGTTTAGATGAAGTTTTATCACAAAAGATGCTTGCTGTTTTTCAACCAGCTCGATTTATAAAGCAATAGAGAATAGTGTAGTAGTCCTTCATAATGGGAGGACGTATGTACTGTATATTCAAGATAGCAGTATTACTATTGTAAAGTACTATATAAATTAAAGTTACAGTTGAACAAAAATGGCAATATTTAAATCTGGCACCATTCCAAATACAGGAAACAAAAGCAATGCTTGCCAAATAGAAGAAAACAAAAAATCAATAGTGAAACGGATAGTTTGCATGAATGTAAGAGATGCCCCATGGAGGGCAAAAAAAGAAAAAAGAGAGAAGATAAGAAAGATTAGATGATGACAATATTCTTTTCATCTTTGGATGCAATTACATGTTCAAATCATTGTTTTGTCTTGGTTGGTGAGTAAACATGAAACATGACCATGCTATGTACGTCAATATGTGTTACAATGTTTACCTCAGACAGGCCTTCACATTGAACGTGAGCCTGGATCCATTCCAGCCTGTCTGAATTTTCCTTCTCACGCACCCCTTCATTTACTTGGGAACACAATTCTTCCGCTTTCTCCAGAGCATGCTTCAAGTGACTGTGATCAGGGTGATTTTCAGGAGTGTTTTCTATTATCTACAGGTAAGTAAAACAGCTTAGTTTCTTTTGTTACTGTTGGCTGTAAATCCACCCATCTTGTCAGCTCTGCATTTTATTTTATTTCTTTATTTTTTTTTAGAACTGGTCAAAATTTTCCAAATGTTAATGTTTTGGTTATTTTTTTCTCAAAAGTTCAAATTTCAGTGAAAAAAACTGTTCTTTGTTTTGTTTTTGCAAAGAAATCATCCCATTTTGGCCAGTTCTATTGCTGACAAGTCTTTTAGCAAAATTTTTCATGAAGGCTGCTGGCTGGGTGCCCAACGTTGAGGGCAGCATCGCTGTCATCAGCAGCACAGAAGTGAAGGTGGCATGGTATGGAGGGGTCCTCACTTTTGGGGGGGCCATAGCGGTCTTACAATTGGGCGACCTGGGTGATTTTCCGGGTTCATCCCCACCACCACCCCCAGCCATCCCAAAGCCACTTTAAGTCCCAAGCGCCAGGGGCCCAGAATGGAGGAGGGGGCAGGGCATTGGGCACCCTGGCTGAGGGTTCCTACCATACTCTGGGCTCCAACTGCTGGGCCTGGCTGGGCTGGTGAGGGATGGGACTTCCTCTTACCCTGCCAGGGCCTCTTCTGGGGTCAGGTCAGACCCACCTCCAGCAACCTCCCCTGGCTGCAGGAAGCTCTGCGGCTGCTGGCTGGGAGCCCAGCTCTGAAGGCAGCACCGTCACCAGCAGCAGTGCAGAAGTAAGGGTGGCAAGATATGGTATTGTAACTCTCACTTCTGCGCTGTTGCTGGCTGCGGCGCTTTCTTCAGAGCTTGGCGTCCATCCAGCATCCACTGCTTTCCAGCTGCCCAGCTCTGAAGGCAGCATAGAAGTAAAGGTGGCAATACCATGAACCCCCTACAATAGCCTTGCAACCCCCCAGAACCCTCTTTTGGGTTGAGATCCCCAGTTTGAGAAATGCTGGCTTCCCCCGTTAAATCTGTATAGCATAGAGTAAAAATACACAAAAGACCAGATGTCTTGCGGGAGACCCCAGATTTCATGGTCCGTGACACATTTTTCATGAATTTGGTAGGGCCCTAGAGCTGTATGTTCTGTTGTGAAGGAGTGGATGAGGCCCAGAAGCCTCCTGTTGGAGGCCTCAGGGTCCTGCCACACCCCATCCCAGAGAGGAGCAGATGAGAAATCCGAGCATGGTTGTGGGGAAGCAGCCAATGAGAGAGGCTGCATGGAGCAGCCTATCAGGGCCTAGCAGGGCCATATAAAAGGAACTGCAAAACAGAGCAGCAGTCAGTTGCTGCCTGGAGCTGGAGGAGAGAAGACCGTGTTCCTGGCTGGCTAAAAGAGCAGCAGGACAGCTCAGTGTGGGCAGGGACCAGAGGAGCTAAGAAGGAGCTCCTGGCTGGCTGCTGGGACTGAGTAAGGACTGAGCCCGGGGAGCACCACAGGAAGGTAGTGTCTCTAGGGAGGAAGCCCTGGGGTTACGGCCCAATCCAGGGCTGGGACTATTTAAAGACTGAGCCCGGGGAGGGCTAGAGAGACACCAATCGAGAGGTCCTGAGACAGGCCCCTGGTGCACTGTATACCCCAGAAGGGGGCTGTTCTAATTCATATACAGACAGTGAGAGAGACTCGGCTGGAGGGCTGAATCACTGAAAAGCCACCTGAGAACCCACCGACAGGGGTCACCAGAACTGAAAGACTGCAGACACACCTGACCATAAGGGGGCGCTCATGAGAGGTGGGTGCCACCCCATTACATCTGGTCATATACAGAGGAGGATCAGGGCTGATGAAGGAATCTGACTTTTCAGACCAAATTCAGGCCTGATATAATGTCTCTCTCCTAGATAAGTCTTGGGCCAAATTCAGTAGTAATGGTAATGGTGATGTGAGTTAGACATCAGATGAAAGTTGGACAGAAAATGGATGCAAGTTGTAAAGTAATGTAACTTGCACAAATCTGGCTTCAATGGCTGTGCAAAATGAACAACTGACAAGCCCAGGGGGAAGGGGGGGGGAGGCATGTACAGCAGGAAAAGCAGCTAGCAGGAGAGTGTAAGACAACTTAGTCCCTCCCCACTCCTTTACTGTATACCCACCACCCAGCTTTTGCTGCTAAACCCTCCCATTCCCTGGCATATAAATTACTCTCCTCCATCCATTATGCCAGTGTAAATACAGAATAACTCAACTGCAGTCAGTCGAGTTACTCATGATTTATCCCAGTGTAATTGAAATACAAATTTGGCCCATATTCCCCATCATACCAGACGTGTCTAGCCTCTTGAGAATAGCAAGACTGGACATACATAGGGAAACTTAACTACAAATAAGCTACAAGCCAAGGGGCACTCTAAATACATTCCAGTATGTTTTAAAAAAAAACGTACATTTTTAATTATTAGCGGGTATCTTGTTACCCTTTGCATAGGCTTTAGCAGAAAACTTGACAGCGGCATTCCTTTACAGCGAGGATCCATTGCTAACCTCTGAAATATGAAAGGTAAGATGTTGTTAACCAGCTTGTTTATGACAGTGGAAGACAAATTCCTGAAAAAAGGTAAAAGATAAAATGGTAAGTCAATAAATGCGTCACATAAACCTGTTCTCAGTCAGAACAAGAAGTATGACAAACAAATTCAGAGCAATAGAATTTCTCATATTTTTACAAAATAGGGTAGAGTATGTCAGAGATGAGAGCAGCTTTATGATCCCTAGAGATATCTATATTCTCGGACTGTATAAACATTCTGATTGAAGTAAGCTTCCTTATTATGGGACAGGGCTTATGAATGAGGACATTATTTATTAATGGGTTTGAATGGAAGTCATTACAACATTATCTCCCATGTCGTCATGTTGACTATAAAAAGACATTTCCAGTATTTCTTTCTTCAAAAGAAAAAAGTGACATATACACTGGAAATTATGTAGATTGCCTCCAAATGTAACCTGGAGAAGTTTGACAGTTCAGTGAATAAAGCGGATTTAACAACATTTTTCACAGATATTATATATTGAAAAGATTTACTAGATAATAAAGTTCATGCCCCCTGCCAAAGCACCCTTGTCCCCTACAGAACATTTTCTAGTGCTTTGCCAATTCCCTTTTTAAAAGGCTCAAGCAATGGGGCTTTCACCTTTTCCCTTAGCAGACGACTGCACAGCCCAATACATTGCACTGTCAGGACATTTCCCCTGGTATTTAATCTATATTTCCTCTTTTTTTAATGTAACTCCATTACTCTTAGTCAGATCCCCAGGTATCACACTGAATAATAATTCATCATGCAGTACTTGGAGTTTCACTCTCCAAATATTTATAGTCTGTGGCCTGGTCTACACTAAAAAGTTAGGTCAACCCAGCTACATCGCTCAGGGATGTGAAAAATCCCCCCCTTCCCCTCCTCACCTCCCCCCAAGTGACATAGTTAAGCCAACCTAAGTCCTTGTGTAGAAAGCGCTAGCTACCGCCTCTTGGGGAGGTGGATTACCTGCAGCACTCAGGCTGTGCCACTGTAGCGTTTCAAGTGTAGACAAGCCCTTATTACATTCTTCTTTCCGCTATCTCTTAGCCATCTATTTATATGCATTTCCTGACAGTGAATTCCTTAAGCTGTAGAATACTCTTCCAAGGAAGTGGTGGAAGCCCCATCTCTCTTGACATTTAAAAATAAACTGGACTAATCACTAGAAAAGTTCAAGTGGGAAAAATCCTACCTTACCAGGGAGATGGGCTGGATGTCCCACTGTAATAAGCCTTTTCTACATCAGAGGCAGCATGGTCTGATGGACAGGACACTAGACAGAACCAAGAGGCCAGAGTTCTGCCTCTGAGCTGCTGTGTGACCTTGAGCAAAACACTATTTTTCTTTGCCTTTTCTTCTCCTCCCACCCTTTGTCCATCTTGCCCATTCATGCCTGTGACAGTTTCTTACTATGTATTTCTACAGCACCTAGCACATTGGGGCCTTGATTTTAGCAGGGCCTCTTGGTGCTACTGTAATACTACTGCCACTTTAATAGTTAATAATAATAAAAACTTCATCTTCTATGATGGTCTGACCAAATCTTGTTCCTCAGTGAACATTCGGGCCTAAAGATTCTTCACTTGTCCACAGCATAGCACTGTTTTGTAATCAGCAAAATGATTAGATGCAGTTCAGAGGTAAGAAATTCACAATGGTTATTTTGTCTCTTACTTTAACAAAATCCTTGAACTCTGGGACTTCATCTGTTTTCTGCTGGATTAATGCTGCCCCATTGAGCTGGCAGCTACAGAACCGGATGTAAGGTTGCATGTGTGGTAGCTGTGCGGTCAGTATGTCGCCAATCATTTTCACTGGCATCCTCTCCCCAGACATCTTTTTACGAACACGCAGTGCTCTAGACACAAAGCAAAAGATGCTAGGCATGTTTTGTGTGTAACTGGACCATTAATGGATCGTCACTGACCCCTGAAATAAACTAGCTGATAGTTCGTATACTATCATAGAGGACTCTCAACCACCAGTCTGGTTTCCTTCTTGTGGTCACCAAACTGCTGTTCAAAATTAACTTGAGGTAAATCCAGTTGAGAATTATTAAAAAAAAAAAAAAAAAAAAGACAATGCAATTTCCTTGTTTTGCTAACCTACGACGAGACCACACCCTCTAAAACATACAGTTCTGTTCAAAGCATTTTCTTCCCTTCATCACATCAGCCAAAATGCTGAAAAGTGGTACAGTTTAATGCCTCAAAGAAATCACACACAAAGCCAGATCCTCCACGGGTGTGAACTGGCAGACAGCCGCTGACGTCAAAGGAGCTAAGCTGATTTACGCTAGCTAAGAATTTGACCCCAAATGGCTTAAATATTAAATAAAGACCACTATTTTAAATGACCTGGACAACAATATTTTAGCATCTTAGAGGTGTATCAAAAAGGAAACATATTCAGAAGGAGAAAGTCGGGCATAATATCAGTGAATCTAAAGTTTGTATCAACCATATAGAAGGTGGGCTAGTTGAATTTGGGATATATGTCTTTGCATCCAAAGGCCTCTTCTGAGATTAAGTACTTCAAGAGTTTATATACTGTCATTTTAATATTTATCTGGACTAAACTTTAGTCCACGTACAGTATATGGAGTATATATACAAGAAGCAATGCAAGTTGCTTCAGACAACATAGAAATAGTGCACCTTAACTGGATTTAGATTGATTTCCACTTTGTCACTTAGGAGGAGAGTAATGTAAATATACTAGCATTATATTATACTGCATTCAAAACAAACTCATCATCCTGAAGTGAATAGTCGCCAAGAGATCCTGAAGGCAAACCCTTCACTGAGAAGTCCTGCGGGAGTGACTTTGATGACAGCATGTTGTTTTGAGTCTTGCAGAATTGGACCATAACCACCCACTACCATCAGCAAACTCTGAGCAGTGGACCAAGTGAGAAATAAGAAGGATGTTAGATTTAAATGAAATTGCCATTTTGTATTGCCAATATTTATATGAGTATTTATGAATCTCAACAAGGGTGAAATCTGGCCAGGTGTACCAGGAAACGCACATTTTCTTGATGAAAATAGTTGATGTCCCGATTCTGCAAAGCAGTTAAGCATGTGCTTAAGTCTATCCTTATTTAGCACATCACTTAAGCATGTGCTTAAAGTAAAGTATAAGCTTAGGTGTTTGCTGAATTGGAGCCTGAAGCTGAAAATCTCCCTTTGTGGGCTAAAATGAATTCTTTTCCACAAAATTTGCTCCAGGGAACTGTTTCCTCTTTTGCACAGAACTTTTATCATTTTCACAGCAAAACAGATTTATTTATTTAGGCAGTAAAATGACACTTTTCAACCTATTAATATGCACAAACTACTTGATTTTCTCAAAAAGGAATTCAAAGCCATAATATTATATTATATTCTTTGCAACCTGCTGCTGTTTTCACTGGTAGCAAATACGATTTTCACACAGTTAAATAATTAGGAGGGGATGGGAAAGGTCAATTATTTTATTGTTGATAAATATAGAAAAGCAACTTACTTCAGTAGTTTGATATTGCACATAATCAGCTCCTTCCAATTAACAAAAATCATAGCGACCTCTTTTTCTGTTAGCAGCTCAGACTCCATCAGTGGTTTCTGGAAGATCTACAGATGCAGAAAATGAAGCAATTTAGAAAGTGTACTGTTAAATCAATTCAAAGTGACAAAGCTTCTTGTTCATAATCTCCATGTAGAGGTCTGCGTACTTAATAATAATACAACATTTAATTTTCATTAGAACAGATTTCAAACATACTGTCGGCCTTAGAGCTCCATAATGTTTCCAGATAAGATATTCGAGAACAGTGTATCACTTCACAAGGCATAATCTAAACTTGCATCAGTGATGTTAATTACAAAATGGCTTATTTCTGTTTTAACCTTGGGCATTTCCTTATACTAGTGGTCCCTTGCAAAATATCTCAGTAATAAATTACACAGAAGTCTACTTTGGCCTCTGCTCTACAGACGCCCGATTTATTACTGATTAGAGCTGGAAATTTTTTTTTTCCTGGCAAATAGAAAATTCACCAAAAAAATCATTTTGGGGAGTACCAAAACTATTCATGAATTTGTACTGAATTCAGCAAATAGTTTCAGCCAAAAGAAAAAAAAACTAAAAAATACCATAAATATAAAAACATTTTAATTTCATTTCAAAATGAAATGTCTATTTGAATCAACCTGAATGAAATTATTTCAGTTTTTCATTTTGGCAAGAAAAATTAACTGATTTTTTCCCCCAGTTTTTTTGCTGCAGTCACAGAACTGAATAAATAATTATTCAGTGATTTCTTTTATTTATCTAACCACATATCAGGCTTGCATATCTTGACCATTTTGGCAAAGAAGGACTCTCCCTCAGTTAAGAAGCTCACCTTAGATGTCTATCTGGCTTCCATTTTCCTTGCATGAAAGATGCACATAATAACTATTAAACTGAATTTAGGCACAGAAAAGCAGATAAGTGCCACTGTGGCTGTAGAATCTCTGCGCAATGAGTTAAACCTTTAAGTCTTAAGAGAATATACATGAGAAATAAACTTTTAGAATCAGGAGTGAAAAGACTGTACTAAAACAGAAAGTTTAAATGATGATGTCTCAATGCTGGTTAGGGTGACCAGATGTCCCGATTTTATAGGGACAGTCCCGATTTTTGGGTCTTTTTCTTATATAGGCTCCTATTACCCCCCACCCCCCGTCCCGATTTTTCACACTTGCTGTCTGGTCACCCTAATGCTGGTAATAAGTGACTCACATGCTCATGAATACTAAAAGCTCAAGTCAGATTATTCCTAGCAAGTCAGACAAGGCAGGAATTTTCAAACAAAAAATGACAACTTTGTATGATTAAGTTACTAGTCACTATTTTTTAAAAACGGGGGGGACTACAGTTAGGCTCCCAAATCCATATTTGGGATGCCTAAACAAGTGACCCACTCTTCAAATGTGCTGAGCAACCAACAGTTCCCACTCAGGCGAGTATGAGGTGCTGTGTGGTCAGCACTTTTGAAAATCAAGCCACTGTTTCTGTGCCTAAATGTGGATTTAGGAGCTTACTTTTCAGCTCTCCCTTTTGCAAACCTTGGCCATTCTTACCTCTGTGACTAACTGCAGGTCATTTACATAGTTCTCTTCTGTTACGATCAGTTCGTGGATGTATCCCTGCCTTTTCCTTTCAGTAGGCGTCAACATGTCCAGGAGATGTAAGTCAGCACACCCTGGAAAATACAAAGGAGACCGAGAATTTAGTGAGGGCTATTTGGAAATAGATTAAAACTGTGATATTTCAGCTAATGCTTCATTAACAATAACAGCCACCTGTTCATTCAATTTATCATTCTCTCAACACGTAACAGCACAAAATTGAAAATGTTTCATCTTTATTTACTTGAAAAATCAAAAGGCTTGAGTTGCCTCTAAAGCAAGGCTCAATTAAAAAAAAAAATCACAGTCCTACTATTTATTTGTTCATCAACTCCACTGTCTTGAACCTAACAATTAATAAAACAAATGAATGAAAGCCTGGCTAAAACAAAAGCCTGCAGTCTGAGGATGACTGAACTAAAGCTTTGGCGAGCATTAAAAGAGCGGATTTAAAGGACAGGGAGGCTAGAGCATCCAGGTGGATCTTAACTGCTGTGATAGGGAATATAATAAATACAATAGCGGTGAGAAGTATTCTCTCAAATAGCCATACACTGCAAGAGTCAACCCTCAGAGTTGGTACCATTGAGAAGAGGCTCCATTTTAGGCTATGTCCATACTAGAGAGCTTACAGTGGCACAGCTGTACCCCTGCAGCTGCCCTGCTGTAAGGTCTTCCATTCAGCCACGCTATGCCAGTTGGAGAGAGCTTTCCCATCGGCATAATTAAACCACCCCCAATAAGCAACGGTAGCTATGTCAGCAAGAGAGCGTCTCCCGCCAACATAGCATTGTCCACACTGGCACTTCTGTCAGTGTAACTTGTCAGTCAGGGGGGTGCTTTTTTCACACCCCTGACCGACAAAAGTTTTACCAACAAAAGTGGTAGCGCAGACAAAGCCTTACTCTGTTATTCTTTTCAAAGTGGACATTCTATCCAGTAGCGTTCTATTTTCTTTTCTTTTCTTCACTTTTCTTTTGAAAACTGACTATCAAAGTCTTTAGGGATCAGATCCAAAGTCTACTGAGGTCAGTGTGTATGGGTGTGTGTGGGGGGTGTCTTTCCATTTATAATAGAATACAAATGAACTACATTTAAAAACAAAAAATTGAAACATTCTAGGCCACAAATGTCAAAATGGAAGGTTTCAGTGTATTAAAATGCTTGGGTTTGATTTATCAAAATTGTCCTGTTCCCATGGAAAGTTTCGATTTTGACAAAATGGCATTTTCTGACAGAAGAACTTGTTATTGCAAAATTTTTCATGGCGTTTAGAGTGATCAAGGCTTTTTATTTATTTATTTGTTCACCAGCATCATCAATGATACCAACATACTTAGATCAGACTTTGAGGAGAGTATTGTTTTAGGTAAGGTGTTCTCATATTTTTCATAGTGTGAACCACATCTCCTCCTATTCTCAATCACATCACTTCCTTGTGGCAACTATAGAAATTGCTTCCATGTAAACTTAATACTAAGAGTATTTACTATATTTTTAGCTTTTTAAATGCAATTTAGTAGGTGGAAACAAAGAAAATTCAGCCCCCATCACCAGCCAGGTTTCTATGGATCACTATTAAGTAGTCCATGAATCACAGTTTGGGAACCTCTGCTTTAGCCAACTCGTGCTCCCTCTGTTGGCTGATTAGCAGCAGAGCACACTCATGGGTTCTACGTAAACAGTTTTAAAAATATTTACTGGAGTGGTAGATTTGAAAAAGAAAAATTAGATATGAACAGTCAAGGGGGCATCCTGTAGGACTGTAGTAACTTTAAAGTAGATCATTTTGGGGCCCAAACACATTGAAAATGGTCCTTTAAGATATTGCATATTGTAGTTCTTTACATGAGATTCTTTAAACTTTAAACCTGATAAAATGAGAAGGTAACATTGAGAATAATCAATGAACTCGCGCACTGGCCTAGTGAAAAATATTAGAAACTCTTGGAGTTGTTCAAAAACCAAAAGCTTCAATCCTGTTTTATAAATGGCTGCTTTCAGAGCAATTTTCCAGTACATACAGTACAACACAGGTCTAGGAACCAGTTTAGTTTTCTTACTGAGTTACCAGCCTCAGCAAATACAAACATCGTACCAAAGTGTTTTGTTTAGTTTTTTTAAGACTGGAGAGATTTTCTCTTCAAATATGCTGATAACCTTGGTTTGAAGTGTTATTCCAACCACTAAAGTTTTATATGAAACATTTAAAAATCTCAAAAAGAAACTTTTCTTCAAATAGCTTGACAGATTGCCAATGGGAACTTTAAATAGGTCACTTTGAACTTCAACAATTAGTCTCCTTTTGAACATTTAATATTAGGGGGGAAAACCTGATTTCAATTAGAGCAGAATAAGTCAAAAAGACTTTTCCAATAGAGAGATTTTTTTAGGTGCAAAAAGATTAGGAACTTTCTCCTCTTGACATAAAAAACAAACAGTGTTTTGGTTCCTTTTCAAACTAAAATGTGAGATGAAAGGGCTATAACTAGTTGTTCTTTTAAATAAAAGTCTAAATTCCACTTGCAGCTGTAATAATATTATGAATTCAACCAACTAAAAGAGATCCTTCCTTGGGGGGCCATAAACTACCTTGGATAAGCAGGTGCTGACAAATGGAAAGCATCTATCTCAAAAACCCTAATTCAGCAAGGAACTGAAGCAGGTCCCTAACTTTAAGCATGAGTAGTCACCAGGGCAGCTACTCATGCTTAAGTCAGTCAGATATCTAAACGCCTTGTTGAAATGAGACTAAAGTGTGTTGCTGAGCTCCTTCTCTGCACTCCTTGAAATGTTCCTGATTTTAAAAAAAAGAGACTTTATCATATGGAAGAGACACTGTGGAACAGTCCTTTTAAATAAACTTGAAGTTCATTCGAACAACTTGAAGGTATAAGACAATAATTGTATCAGGAGTTAAATAAACAGACTGAAGGCATAGATCTCCCCAGGAAAGAGAGATGGTTATCATCAAGTTAACAAGAAACACCCTTGGGCTATTACTCTTTTATTCTGAAACTTGAAATTAAATATTCACAATGTAAATTAAAGAGAGTCCTCCCTCACCCCCCAATGGCTGCCATTGCAGTATGTTATTGCTATTTGTATAACAGGAACTTCCAGAGGCACCAATCATGATCATTGTGCTGGGTGCTCACAAAAATAAGGGAACAGTCCCTACCCTGATGAACTTACAGGTCCTGGACAAAAGCCCATCAATTACAATGGGCTCTAGGATCAGGCCCTAAATACGGACAGAACAGTAAATTGTTAAAAATAATAGTTAGAAACATTTTATCCCTTTCTTTCCATTCATTCTCACCATCGCTACCCCTTCCCTTCCATACAGAACCTTAGCAAGGCTCTTCTCAAACGACAGTATATCTTATTTCAGATCAGAATTTGGAGGAAGAGGCTAGGATCCTCCGACTGTAAAGTAATTATGAATCATGTTGGCTTATGGAGAAGGAAGGGTTTTAGGGGAACAGAGAAAGAGAAAAGGTCTGATCCTGGTGCCACTGAAGTCTATGGCAAGTGGGGTTCATTAGGGTTTTTCTTTTAAGCAACTAGTGGAGCAAAGGGTTTACAATTGCCAATTAAAAGAGAGGTATCTGCATATTCACAATATTTAATAAGAAATAATCATACAATTATGCAAATCCCTGCACTCTGATTGGTTAATGAGTATCAGCCAATGCACAGATATTCAGACACACTGTATAGCTGAGAAAGAAACAGAGGATTAGGTAAACTGGACGCCTGGAATGAGAGTGTGCAACTACTCCTCTGGAAAGCCTTTCTTTGGTCTCCTGTGACAGCAGGGCCCTCTGACTTGGGGGATTCTAGAATTGTAAAGATTTATTTTACAAAATGAAAGTTCCTGCCCCCTTTCTGTGCAAAGGCAGCCTTGAAAACAAAAATGGATATAAACCAATCACTAGAGATGAATGGAACTATTCCACACATGCACACACCCTTTTAATGCAAAGTGAGTCAGTTATGTTTGGGATGTATCCCCAATAACATGGCCAGATCGAACCACAATCATTACATCAGCACAGTATAGTGGTGAAATCAAAACGGACTCCTGTTCACTATGTCTCAAGGAGGTGGATGCAGTACAAAATTATTTCACAGGCTTGCCCAAAAATGCTAAGGCTTTGCATAATTGGGGGAAAATAATTATATCTCAATACTTATACAGCATCTGTGCACTCTGATTGGCTAAGACAATCCCATTTTGCCTCTCTTTCTTTCTTCTGAGCTTACTGGCTAACTTCAGATGTAAGAATGGCCCTACTGGGTCAAACCAAAGGTCCATCTAGCCCAGTATCCTCTCTTCCAACAGTGACCAGTGCCAGGTACCCCAGAGAGCATGAACAGAACAGGTAATCATCAACTGATCCATCCCGTTGTCCATTCCCAGTTTCTGGCAAACAGAGGCTAGGGACACCATCACTGCTGTACCATCAACTTAGTACAAACAGCTGGTACTGTGCATCCTCCACTAGAAGGCAATATCAAAAGGGGTTGTAGACTCCAGTGATCAAATAGGTCTTCTCCAGCTCTAACTTCTATGACCCTATGTTGTCCCTTAAAGAATGTTTTTATAGGCCTGTGAACAAACAAACAAACAAAAAGACCGATTGCCTAACTACAGTCAACGTATTGTAGAAATAAAATTTAGAACTCCATTTAAAACAAATTTTCTTTAACCCTTCTGCACAGAGAATCCTAAGGAAGACTGTAAAATGATGGTGGTGATGATAGTAGTGGTAGAGTAAATTGGCTGACAGCATTTTAACCACCATGTCATCAGACCAGCTTATCTGAACTCTGGTAGCCAGATGGCACTAGCCCTCCCACAAGTGCGAAAAAGGAAATCTGAAGAACATCTTTGTTCTCACCTTTTTATCTGATATTCACCAGGACTACAGAAGCATGATTTGGACAATTCCAATGGATTTAAGGAGGGAGGCTACCTACTGACAGACAGAAGGGGTGCAAAATTCCATGATGCTTTTGTCTACCCCTCATTTTTTCCTTGCCATTCTGCTTCATTAAACAAGGCCTA